GAGGATCAGAACTTTAGTTGAACTATTTTTGTTTCCTAATGTATTATCTGAGGGATTGAATGTAGAATTTCCTAATGTATTGTTCATGGTTGTTATTTGTCATATGTTTTCTGTCACTTTTGGGTTCACAAATTTGACCCTAAATTTGTTGGGCTGTAGCTTGGTTAGAGATTTATCGTAGCTACAATAAGCCGAGGTGGCTATTATCCTTATACTACCATTAGTACTTTTGAGCTTGTGCTGATAGATGGAGTTCATTCATGTATTTTCCACCGTCGAACAATTTTGATCAAGGTTCATTTATACGAGTTCATACTTCTTCAATCTCTAGTCTTTAGACGTAATATTTTCATCATGCACATCCATTATGTTTGCTTGTTCCCTCTATCTTCCGGATATTTTGAATGTATTGTATTGTGCAATATGTTGCCTATGCTATAGAATACCCACAAACGTGACAAGATATTCCTTGATCAAAATACAGTGTGGATCTTCACCCATTGTAGTCTAGTCCTCTTGCGAAATTTCTTTTTTATCTCTTGATTTTTTTTTGCACCATATAATTTATTCTAACTGTTAGAATTGATATTCTCTTGATCAAAATACAGTGACAATATGTTAACTTTTATGTTTCTTGCACCATATAATTTATTCCAACTGTTATAATTTGTTCTAGTTTAGCAGCTTGTTCTGTCTAAGGATTTTCCTTCTCATTTGATGTGTTCTTGTTTGCTGCTCTTTGATTCCTCATCATGGACACTATCCTTCAATTCTATTCTTTTTGGTCGTAAGATTTTAATATTGTTAACCTGAATGCCTTGACCATAGTATTGCTGAATTAGAAAAGGATCAAACTTTACGGTAGATTTTTCCTGAAAAGTTTTTCCTTGTATGTAGTAATCTTTTGCTTATCGTTTATTTGCTGGGTATTGAATTCTATACTTTCGCTTTGTTTTTCAGATTAACTGAAGATGAAGAATTTAAAAGAGTGGTTTTCCTATGAGCTATTGTCTAAATCATTACTATCTGCAAGGCCTTTCAGCTTCTTTTATGAGGAATCACTGGATGGTGAACTTGGCAACCGAGGTTCGGCCTTATTTTATGCTGTATTAAGTCATATAATCCTTTTGCTGTTAGATTTTCAAACTACTTGAACTGAGTGTCACATGCCTTTTGCTCAAAGTTCAAGCATATTAACAATGCATGCAGGTCTCTTGGCTCTGGTTCCTGTATTTACTATCATGTTTCCTGTTCTCGTAAAACCATAATTTTGTTATATGATTACGTATCTGATAAGTTCTTTGTGTATTTAGCTGATCTTTAGTCCCCTGGTTCCCAAAGATCGCATCTTGCTATCTAGTGTTTCATTATTATGACAATATCATACGTTTGTGGAAAAATTAACTAATTCTATGGATGATTGATGCAGGAGAAATATTGAGGTCTCTATGGTGATTTCGGATTCTAACCCTTGCTATGAAGACGCACATATGAGGCTTGCTGCAGTACTCTTAATGTTGCTATTGAGTCCAACTGAGTGTTATGTTTGTTTCCTGTTCTTTTCTTTCTTGTCATGATCATGTTCATGCCTGAACATTTGAAAGATGGGAAATAAGTGGACTATGGTTGTGCTACTATTTTGTTTATAGACGAACTTAATACTCTTCAAGTTTATCAAGTAGTCCAACTGAGTGTTATGTTTGTTTCCTGGTCTTTTCTTTCTTCTGTCATGATCATGTTCATGCCTGAACATTTGAAAGATGGGAAATAAGTGGACTATGGTTGTGCTACTATTTTGTTTATAGACGAACTTAATACTCTTCAAGTTTATCAAGTAATTAAATAGATTATCCTTAATAATCGTGATCGTGTTGCTGATAGTTATGATGACATTTATATCAAGTTATTGATCTTATACAGATCCTTACATACCTTGTGTTTTCTATCTTGATTCATTTAAATATTCTCGCAATTTTGTTGTTATTGATCTTTTGGTTTTGGTTTGGAAATCTGAGGTTAATTTTGCAAATGTGTGAGGTTTGTACTTTTATCCAGGCTTGTAAATGGTTCAATCATGAACTTGTTTGCCTTTGTTTGTTTATCTTTGTTTATGTTCCTATCTTTGTTAGTATTTTATCAAAAGCCCCAACAAGTTTGCAAAAAACCCATAATAGTTTACAAAAAGCCCCCTAAAAGTTTACAAAAAACACCCCAAAAGTATTATGTACATATAACCACTATAGTTAAATGGGCAATTGGGCGGCCCGTTTATTAAATGGGCGGGCAAAAGCCCGCCCATTTAGAAAATATTAAATGGGTCATAAATGGGTAAATGGGCAAAACATGCCCGCCCATTTATGGCCCGCCCATTTAACACCCAAACCCACCCATTTAACATCCCTAGTTGATACGGGATGTCGAACTAACCAAAATGGTCAAAACGAACTAAAACTAACAAAATGTGTGAAAAATCGTGGGTTATGGCTCACGAAATCGTGAAAAAATGTACTCCACCTAATTGTCTGCACCGGTTCAAAAAGGGGCGTAAATGGACAAATTTCGTGGGTTATAGCTCACGAAAATCATGATATTTGACTATACCAAGTGATTTGCCATCGGACGAAACCATCGTAATCGGGGAAAAATTGTCTCATATAGCTCATGAACTCGTGAAATTCTAACAATGGGCTATAACCCATGAAATCGTGGCCGGTCGAAACGAATTGAAGCTATGGAAAAACGATGGGTTATAACCAATGAAATCGTGATATTTGAACTCTGCCTAATTATTTGTCGACGGGCCCAAACGCACGAGAAGGGTCAGCAATCACGTGTTATAGCTCATGAAAACATCGGGTTTGAATTCGGCAAAGATTTTTTGACACGGGGCGTCGAATATACTAAAATGGTCAGAAATCCTACAGACAATAACTCATGAAATTGTCAGTTTTGACATTTCCGACACCCTGCCGAAACAGAAGAAAATGGTCAAAATTCACGGGTTACAGCTCATGAAATCGTCGGGTTTGAATTCCGCAAAGATTTCTGGCGCTGGGTCAAAACAGACAGAAGCTGACAAAATGAGTAAAAATTCATGGGTTATAGCTCACAAAATCACGAAATATGCACTCCGCTTAATTGTCTGCACCGGAACGAAAAGGGGCATAAATGGACAAATTTTGTGGGTTATAGCTCACAAAATCATGAAATTTGACTCTGCTGAGTCATTTACCGTCAGACAAAACCATCAAAATTGGGCAAAAATCGTTGCATATAGCTCATGAACTCATGAAATTAGAACAATGGGTTATAACCCATGAAATCACGTCCGGGTCGAAACGGACCAAAGTGATCAAAAAACCATGGGTTATAACCATTGAAATTGTGGTATTTAAACTCCACCTAATTATTTTTCATCGGGCCCAAAACCACGAGAAGGGTGAGCAATCACGTGTTATAGCTCATGAAATCATCGGCTTTAAATTCGGTAAAGATATTTTTATATGGGGCGTCGAACTGATTAAAATGGTCAGAAATCGTACGGACTATAACTCATGAAATCATCGGTTTTGAAATTTCTGACACCCGACCGAAATAGGGAAAATGGTTGAAATTCATTGGTTACAGCTCATGAAATTGTCTGTTTTGAATTCGGCAAATATTTTAGGTGCCGAGTCAAAACAAACCAAAACTGACAATGTGAGTAAAAAAATCATGAGTTATAGCTCATGAATTCGCGAAATATGCACTGCGCTTAATTATTTGCACTGGGCCGTAAAGGGGTGTAAATGGACTAATTTCATGGGTTATAGCTTAAAAATCGTGAAATTTGAACAATGGGTTATAAACCATAAAATCACGCCCGGGTCGAAACGGACCAATGCGTTCAAAAAAACAGGTTATAACCCATAAAATCACGATATTTGAACTCAACCTAATTATTTGCTGCAGGACCTAAACACACGATAAGGGTTTCAATAATCACGTGTTATAGCTCATGAAATCATCTGTTTTGAATTTGGCAAATATATTTTGACACGGGGCGTTGAACAGACTAAAATGGCCAGAAATTGCACGGACAATAGCTCATGAAATCGTCGGTTTTGACATTTTCAACACCCGGCCGAAACAGAAGAAAATGTTAAAAATTCATGAGTTACAGCTCATGAAATCATCAGTTTTGAATTCGGCAAAGATTTCTGGCACCGGGTCAAAACGTACCGAAACTGACAAAATGGGTCAAAAATTATGGGTTATAGCTCACGAAATCACAAAATATACACTCTGTGTAATTGTCTGCACCGGGCCAAAAATGGGCATAAATGGACAAATTTTGTGGGTTATAGCTCACGGAATCGCGAAATTTGACTCCACCGAGTCATTTGTCGTCGAATGAAACCATTAACATTGTGCAAAAATTATTGCCTATAACTCATGAAATCATGAAATTCGAACAATGGGTTATAACCCATGAAATCGTGCCCGGGTCGAAACGGACCGAAACAGTTAGAAAACCATGGGTTATAACCCATGAAATCACGATATTTGAACTCCGCCTAATTATTCGCCATCAGGCCCAAACTCTCGAGAAGGGTCAATAATCACGTGTTATAGCTCATGATATCATTGGTTTTGAATTTGGCAAAGATATTTTAACACGAAGCGTCGACCAGACCAAAATGGTCAGAAATTGTACGTACAATAGCTCATGAAATTGTCTGTTTCGAGATTTCCAAAACTTGACCGAAACAAAAGAATATGGTCAAAATTCACAAGTTACAGCTCATGTAATCATCGGTTTTGAATACGGAAAAGATTTCTGGCACCGGTGGAAACGGACCGAAAGTGGCAAAATGTGTGAAAAATCATGGGTTATAGCTCACGAAATCACGAAAAATGTACTCCACCTAATTGTCTGAACCGGGCCGAAAAGGGGCGTAAATGGACAAATTTTGTGGGTTACAGCTCACAAAAATCTTGATATTTGACTCCACCAAGTGATTTGCCATCAGACGAAACCGTCGAATTTGGGCAAAAACTGTTGCTTATAGCTCATGAACTTGTGAAATTCGAATAATGAGTTATAACACATGAAATCATGCCCCAGTCGAAATGGACCAGAGCGATCAAAAAATGATGGGTTATAACCAATGAAATCGTGATATTTGAACTGTGCATAATAATTTGCCACCGGGCCCAAACGCACGAGAAGGGTCTGCAATTACGTGTTATAGCTCATGAAATCATCGGCTTTGAATTCGGCAAAGATATTTTGATACGGGGAGTTGAACAGACCAAAATGGTCAGAAATCGTACGGACAATAACTCATGAAATCGTCAGTTTTGACATTTCTTACACCCAGCCAAAATAGAAGAAAATGGTCAAAATTCACAAGTTACAGCTCATGAAATCGTCGGGTTTGAATTTGGCAAAGATTTCAGTCGTCTGGTCAAAATGGATAAAAGCTGACAAAATGAGTGAAAATTCATGGGTTATAGCTCACAAAATCGTGAAATATGCGCTCCGCTAAATTGTTTGCACAGGGCCGAAAAGGGGCGTAAATGGACAAATTTTGTAGATTATAGCTCACAAAATCATGAAATTTGACTCCGCCGAGTCATGTACCATCAAACGAAACCATCGAAATTGGGCAAAAATCATTGCCTATAGCTCATGAAATCGTGAAATTAGAATAATGGGTTATAACCCATGGAATCGCGCTCGGGTCGAAACGGACCGAAGGGGTTGAAAAACCATGGGTTATAACCCATGAAATCGCTATATTTGAACTCCACCTAATTATTTCTTGTCGGACCTAAACCCATGAGAAGGGTTTCAATAATCACTTGTTATACTCATGAAATCATTTGTTTTGAATTTGGCAAAGGTATTTTGACACGAGGCGTCGAATAGACAAAAATGGTCAGAAATCGTACGTACAATAGCTCATGACATCGTCGGTTTCAACTTATCTAAAACCCGACCGAAACAAAAGAATATGGTCAAAATTCACAGGTTACAGCTCATGATATTATCGGTTTTGATTTCAGAATAGATTTTTGGTGCCGGGTGGAAACGTACCGAAACTAACAAAATGTGTAGAAAATCATGGGTTATAGCTCATGAAAACGTAAAAAATATACTCCACCTAATTGTCTGCACCGGTTCAAAAAGGGGTGTAAATGTGTTATAACCCATGAAATCGTGCCCGGGTCGAAATGGATCGAAGCGATCGAAAAATGATGGGTTATAACCAATGAAATCACGATATTTGAACTCTGCCTAATTATTTGCCGCCGGGCCCAAACGTACAAGAAGGGTCGGCAATCACGTGTTATAGCTCATGAAAACATCGGTTTTGAATTTGACAAAGATTTTTTGACACGGGGCATCGAACATACTAAAATAGTCAAAACTTGTACGGACAATAACTTATGAAATTGTTAGTTTTGACATTTTCGACAACCAGCCGAAACAGAAGAAAATGGTCAAAATTCACGAGTTACAGCTCATGAAATCATTGGGTCTGAATTCGGCAAAGATTTCTGGCGTCGGGTCGAAATAGACAGAAGCTGATAAAATGAGTGAAAATTCATGGGCTATAGATCACCAAATCACACGAAAGATGCACTCCGATTAATTGACTGCACTGCACCGAAAAGGGGCGTAAA